TGCAGCACCACTGAATCATTACAGAGTAGGAAGCTAAATGGGAAGACATGAAACATAAGTTTCATTCACACTGTGTTGAAAATATTTTGTTACAATTTTAGAAAATGAAATATAGTTTTAGCCTATGGTGAGACACCTTGCTCAGCCTTGATGCAGGGGGAAGGGGCTTGGTCCTGCCTCAACTGAATGTACCAGGCTTCACTGACTCCCCATAGGAGCCCCTACCCTTTTGGAGGAGGAGATGGGGGGAGGATGGGGGATGGGGAGGAGGCTGGGGGGGGAGCAGGAGGAGGGATGAGAGGGGGATCTGTGGTTGGTATGTAAAATGAATAAAAAATTTCTTAAATAAAAAAGGAAAAAAGAAATATAGTTTTAGTTCCAACCGTTTTGCAAAATGTTTTTCTTGAAAAAAGGTTTCATAATTGAGTTTTTAAAGAATTGGGTTTGAGGGCAGCGAGATGACTCATCAGGTAAAAACGATTGCAATACCAGTGTGACGACCTGAACTGCGCTCCTGAAGCCCAAGGTGGAGGGCAAGGGACTCCTGAAAGCTGACCTCTGACCTCCACACACTCACCACAGCATACCCACATCCACACGCAAAATAATAATCATTTATAAAACTGGGCTCAGGAAACTGGTAGTCTGTCTTCAAGTGAATTTATGCTTGAACTCAAGGTCTCAGTGGAGCATTACAGGCCGGCAGGCTAGAGCCCTGTCGGGAATCTAGTTCAGTGTGTTCTAGTCTTTGAAAAGCACCCACCCAAAGATAAATAATTAAATATCACTTACTGTGTACTTAAGAGCTTCCTAACAAAGCCATCCTGGTCTGCATAGTGAGTTTTAAGACAACCAGACGGCTCTGTAGAGAGCCTATGTCTTTAAAAAAAAAAAAAAGAAAAGAAAAAAAAGGCTTCCTAACAGCTACTGCCTCTATTATTTTATTTTATTTAGTTTTCTGAGACAGAGTTTCTCTGTGTAGCCCAGGCTGCCCTGGAACTCACTCTGTAGACCAGACTGGCCTTGAACTCAGAAATACACCTGCCTTTCAAGTGCTGGGATCAAAGGCATGCACCATCCCCACCTGGCTTCTATTCTTATTCTTTAAAACATGCCATGGTGCACACCCACACACATACATGCAATTAAAAATAATAAAAATAAATCTTTGAAAATATATGCCTGACTTAAAAGAACACCAGTTAATTGAAAGAATCTCTCTATTCTGGAAAAGAATTTCCATCTATGAATGGGAATTAACCAGGGTTCTAAATGGTCACTTAGCTTCTACTGAACAAAACTGCTCTGAATTCCTTTAGAGTTCTCCATCTCATGTCTGAAGTTGCATGGGAAACTTTTTTAATATCTACCCACTAGTTATTTCTAAATATGTCTTCTCAAATTCCAAAGAAACATTTAATTCATTCTCATGACAGCCCTTTAATTATTTAAACCAGAATAAAAGCAAGAGAATACTTCAGAATAGCACTTTCTAGGCTTTCCAGAATCTTCTCTATCCTTCACCCTTCAATTTTGATAGTCTATCTCTCTTTTATTGTACCTCAGTATTTATTTTGGGGGTGCACACTTGTACCCCATATGGAGGCTGGAGGACAACTTGCAGAAGTTGGTTCTCTGCAACCACATGAGTCCTAGGGATGGAACTTGGGTCATCAGGCTTGGCAGGCAAGTGCCTTGCCCTGCGCCAAGCCGTCTTGCCAGCCCAGTGCATCCTTTAGTCTGTACTATTGTTTTTACTCTGAATGAAGTATCTTACTACTTCTGGGGTGGTGGTGAAAAGAATAAACCTCTCTTTTTTAAAGATGAAATGTTTTTAAATTATATGTGTCCTTGTCTGTGTGGGGGGGTGTTTGCATAATGAATGCATGTGCCTGTGGAGGCCAGAGGAGGATGCTGGACACGCCTGTCCCCCGTCCCCACACCCCACCCCAGGGGCAGGGGGCAGTTACAGGCTGCCGTGAGCTGCTGACCTGAGTGGTGGGAACTGAATTTGAATTTTCTGCCGCAGCATCAAATGCTCTTGACTTCTGAGCCATCTCTCTAGGCCCTAACCAGCTCTGTTAATAAGCTCCACGGGGAACTTTCCCTCACAGTCTCCAGTGTGCAATGTTCATTAAGACTCATAAAAACCTCTTTCTAGATATTAAAGCATGAACTAAAACACAATATAGAAAAATAATAAAATCAGAAACACAGAGAATAACAAATAATTACAAGCAAACTACAGAACCACCAGTCAAGTCAAAAAAACACTTCTTACATTCCAGAAACTTCTCCCTCATTCTCTTAGTTTAAAACTTGTCTTTATTTTATGCATATGAATGCCTGCCAAGTACTCATGGAAGCCAGAAGAGGAAGTTGGGTCACCTGGAACAGGAGTTATAGACAGTAGCTAGCTGCCATGTGGGTGCTGGGAACTGAATCCAGGTCCTTCTCAACAGCACCACACTGAGCAATCTCCCTGGCCCTTATACAACCCTCTTGAGCATACTCTGTTTAGCAGCCATCAATACAATGACTTCATAGAAGCTTCTTGCTTTCCAACCAGGAAGTCTTACTGTTGGCTTGATTTAAAATTGCACTTTATGTATCTTTATCAATACTGTCAGACTAAAGTCAGACTGTTGTGTCTAATTCTAGTGCTTTTGTTGCCCTAATTCAGGGTTCCTCAACCTCAGCACTACTGACACTAGGGCATACAGCCCTGTTTTGATAGCTGTCCTGTATATTGTAGCAGAATAGTTGGTCTCTACCCATTAGCTATCCAGTAGTTCCTCCATTGTGACCATCAAAAAAGTCTCTAGCTGGGCGGTGGTGGTGCACATCTTTAATCTGAGCACTTGGGAGGCAGAGGCAGGCAGATCTCTGTGAGTTCAAGGCCAGCCTAGTCTACAGATCAAGTTCCAGGACAGCCAGGGCTACACAGAGAAACTGTGCCTTGAAAAACAAACAAACAAGTCTTTGCATACTGCCAAATGCCCCTGGGAGGCAAAACCACTCCCACCTGAGAGCCACAGAAAGTTGATTTGCTTTCCCAACTCTACTTTTATAATATTCCTTTTTATGAAGTGAGTTCTGCTCTAGTCTACTATTTCAAATAAAGATCTTATAAGCATTCTTATACACACTGCCAGATGCGCACATGCATTTGTCTAGAATAAACACTTCTGTGCCATTTCAGTGTACATTTAAATTTGATAATGAATGCTAATTTTTATAAACCAAATAAATGGTTGTACCGTATGAAAATTAATGTTATATAACAATCTCAAAAGACTTACATATCACTATATAGAGATATAGATAGATAGATAGATAGATAGATAGATAGATAGAGATATTGTTTGTTTTGTTTTGCTTTGTTTTTTGAGACAAGGTTTCTCTGTGGAGCCCTGACTGTCCTGGAACTCGATTTGTAGACCAGGCTGGCCTTGAACTCTGATCTGCCTGCCTCTGGCTCCCAAGCGCTGGGATTAAAGGTGTGCACTGCCACCACCACCTTGCAAAATATTAAGAGAAAGAGTTAGGAAGATGCTTTACTTCTCAACCAATGCAAGAGAGCCTTCATCTTGCTCTTTTCGCTGGGTTTCTCTCTCCTCCAACTTAATCACAATCATCCAAAAGCCCCTTTATTTGGACGGAAAACACTTCAATCCCATTCCCTATCATTTTCCCTTTCACTGTTTATCATACTCTCCCCAAACTGCAAGTTCTTACGCAGCCCAAAAGCTGCCTCGTGAGTCATTCTTTTACAGCAGTGGTTCTCGACCTTCCTAACGCTTCGACCCTTTAATACAGTTCCTCATGGTGTGGGGACCTCCAGCCATAACATTATTTAATTGCAGCCGGGCGGCGGTGGCACACACCTTTAATTCCAGCACTCTGGAGGCAGAGCCAGGAGGATCTCTGTGAGTTCGAGGCCAGCCTGGGCTACAGAACGAGATCCAGGACAGGCACCCAAACTACACGGAGAAACCCTGTCTCGAAAAAAAAAAAAATTTAATTGTTACTTCTTAACTGTAATTTTGCTACTCTTATGAATTGTAATGTAAACATCTGCATTTTCTGATGGTCTTAGGCGTCCCCTGTGAAAGGGATGTTCAACCCCCAAAGGGGTCAAGACCCACAAGTTGAGAACCACTGCTTTACAGCCTAACCAAACATCAATGTACAGTAGGTATTCCTAAAAGAATGAGAAAAGTCAAGCCTCGATACTTCCTAAGCCTGAGAGGAACTTTAAGGGCTGGAGTACAGATCTGTTGGTAGAGTGCCTGCCTGGCAGGTACCGGCTCCGAGTTCCATCCTCAGTACCGAGAAGGGACGGAGGACGGAAAAGACATGGGGACAGGAGGGGGTTTCTCAGTCTAGTCTTGGCTCTCATACTGGGGTAAGTGGTAGTTCCTCTCTGGGCGTCTGTTCTACCAACTTCAAACGTAGGTTAGAACAAGAGGCTGGGGGTGTATGTAGCTCAGCTGGTGGGCAGCTTGCCTAGCATGCACCAAGCCGTGGGTTCTATCCCTAACATCATATAAATTGGGTCCAGGAGCGCACGCCTGTGATGCCAGCGTTCAAGAGGCAGGAGGATCGGACGTTCAAGACCATCCTCGGCCAGATAGTGAGTTTGAAGCCAGCCTGGGCTCCATGAGACCTGTCTCAAAAAATGTGGGTTCTAACATGACCTCAGAGGTTCATTCAGAGCCAGAATTAGATAAAAGAATGTCATCAAATCGAGCTGAAGGATGAAGCCGGGATGGCCGTGAGGGACTGAGGGGCTGCTGTCAATCCGGGTGAGGTTTCCGGGTTGTCCCTAGAAACACGGGAGAACTGGAAGGACCGCTGACGTCAGCCACCAGGGAGGGGACCAGCCGCCCGGAGACCAGGGTCACTGGGATGACAGGACTGCAGAGGGGGCCCTGGCCTGTCTAGGAATGTCGCCGAAGACTGAGCTCCAGGGAGGCTCTCCGCGCCCACTTGCTCACCCGATTGGGGTATTCCTTCTTCACACAGTCCCCACACATCGCCACACCGTTCACGGAGAACGTCCCCCTGCGATTCCCGGAAGACGAAACCTCGCGAGAGCTGAGACCTCTATCGCCGCATGCGCCCTAAATACTCCACGCTGGGCTCGAAGTCTCCGCCCATAGCAACGGTTGTTAGGCGGGGCGCATTGCCGTTTCCCGGTAGCCAGGGGTCTTGTAAGCAAAACTCCTCTGGTAATGAAATGATCCCAGAGCCGGCGGTGGTGGAGCACGCCTTTAATCCCAGCACTCGGGAGGCAGAGGCAGCCGGATCTCTGTGAGTTCGAAGCCAACCTGGTCTACAGAGCAAGTTCCAGGACAGCCAGAGCTACACAGAGTAAACCCTCTCTAGAAAAACAAAAACACCCCTCCCCCCCAAAAAAAAACCCCAAAAAAGATCTGAGGACTCAAAGCTCAAAGATGTGTCTAAACCGGGAAGCAGGTCTGAGCCTGGGTGAACTTTTTTTTTTTTTTTTTTTTTTTTTTTTTTTTTTTTTTTTTTTTTTTAAAGATTTATTTATTATGTATACAGTTCTGCCTGAACATATCCCTGCAGGCCAGAAGAGGGCGCCAGATCTCATTACAGATGGTTGTGAGCCACCATGTGGTTGCTGGGAATTGAACTCAGGACCTTTGGAAGAACAAGCAGTGCTCTTAACCTCTGAGCCATCTCTCCAGCCCCTGGGTGAACTTCTAATAGGCACCTTCTTGAACTCTGATTTGAAAAAAAAAAAAAAAAAAGCAACTTAATACTACAGATAGGGAATTGTTTTTCCTTGCTTCCATTTACTCCAGATTAAAAAACAACAACAGAATAATAGTTTCAATACCAGTTTGTGCTATAATAAGAGATAAGAGATCAGAGCTCAAAGGGAGTAAGCAGGTTTTGGGAAGAGACAGAGCACTGACGAAAATCTACTAAAATATTTAAATTAGATTCTTATCTTTCATCTGGTACAAAAATCAATTCAAAATGGATCAAAGCCCTTTATCTAAAACCGGAAACACTGAATCATCCAGAAGAAAACATAGAGATACCTTTCAAGATACTGGGTTGGGCAAGAAATTTTTGAATAGAGCATTAACCCAAACTAACAGGAACTAACCCAAAATATCAACAGGCTGGACTTCATGAAAAAGTTTCTGTTCAGCAGAGGACACATCAGCAGAGCAAACAGTCCACAGCATGGGAGAAAATCCTTACCAGCCACACTTCAGACAGGGGGCTAATAGCCAGAATTTACAAGAATTGCAGAAAGTAAATACCAAGGAAATAAAACTGCTGGTGTGAGAATGGCCATCACCAATACATCTGACAACAAATGTTGGAGAGGGTGTGGAGAGAAAGGAACTCATTCACTGTTAGTGGAGGGTGAAAATTAATACAGCCATTGTGGGACTCAATTTGGTGATCTCTCAAAAAAAATCCAAACTAGAACTATGACATGACCTTGCTATTTCACTCCTGGGCACTTACCCAGAAAACTCCATGCCCTAACTCAGGAATTTTTGCACCTCCGTGTTCACTGCTGCTTTATTCACTCTAGCAAAGAATTAGAATAGACCTAGTTAACCCTCAACAAATGAACGGAAAATTTTCTCTATATAAAAAAAAAAAATTGAAAAAAAAATAAAAAAAAAATTTAAAAAAAAATAAAAAAAAAATTGAATAAGCTGGGTGGTGTTGGTGCACACCTTTAATCCCAGGGGAGACAGAGGCAGACAGATCTCAGAATTCAATGCCAGCCTGGTATCCAGAGAAATTTCCAGGACAGCCAAAGCTACCTAGAGAAATCCTGATTCAAAAAACAAAAAAGGGCCAGGCGGTGGTGGCACACGCCTTTAATCCCAGCACTCGGGAGGCAGAGGCAGGCGGATCTTTGTGAGTTCGAGGCCAGCCTGGTCTACAGAACGAGATCCAGGAAAAGTGCAAAGCTACACAGAGAAACCCTGTCTCAAAAAACAAAACAAACAAACAAATAAAAAAACAATAAAGGAATACTATTCAGCTCTAAAGAATAATGAAATGAAGTTTGCAGGAAAATGAATAGACATAATATTGAACAAGAAAACACAATATCAGGAGGGGGAAAAAAGCTCTTCTCAGTGACAAGCAGAATCTAGTCACTAGTATATGTATATATGAAAACAAATGTACATGTGGGCACATATATAGAAAAGAGAATAAGAAAGGTTAACTATCAGGGCATGAGGACGGTCTGAAAGCAGGTAATAGACATGAGCTATGAAACAGGATATAAAGGATAGTCTGAACTGCCATGGATTTTTCACTCTTGGTGGTAAAATGCATAAAGTATATTCGATGGTGAAAGTATAAAGCCCGATGTGCAGTTCCACAGCTCCTGTTCCTAAAGACTACACTAACTGTATAGTCAGACCCTGTCTCAGAACAACAGAGATTACACAGACATTTCAGATGGACAGTGCGGGGGTGTTAGGCTTTTGATCTTTGGGTGTTAGAGAACCACTGAAAGGTGGAAAGAAAGTGGTGCCAGTCTTGCGCCTGAGGATTATATCTACAGTTATTTGTTGGGATGGACCTGGGAAAAGTTGGAGATGAGAAAGACAGACACCAAGAGGAACCACTAGGGGGAGATATATAGCTTTCTGCCTCTACATTGTCACTAGCGACGATGGCCACACAGGACAAAATTCCCCAAGAGATAGGAAAAAAACTTACAGGGTTGTCACAAAACACATCCTTTGGCATGAAGTGGTTTCGTGTTTAGGAGCATGAAAGACAATATACAAAATTACAGATGTCTTTTTACTTCCCCAGAGTGGCATTATGCCTAATTAAAATGATTAACTGGGGGATACCAGGGGAGATCAATCTTATAGTCACAGAGGACAAAGATGTAAGGGCTATCCACCAAGGCCCTCCATTTAGATCTAGTCACGTTCAGGAAGGGAGATGGCGGGTAAGACCAGAATGTGTGTGGGTAGATGGGCAGGACCAGAACTCCAAGTGTGATTACGGTAACAGGGACATAAAAAATAGATCTGAAAGTGACAGGAGGAAGAAAGGAAAGAGGGGCTACGGAGCAGGAAGGTTGCGCCCAAAGTAAACAACTGTGATGGAAAATGAGCAAATGAATTAAAAAAAAAACCACTTTTGTTTTCTTTCCCTTATACATAACTATTAAAACAAAGTTTGCAGAAACCAATGTTTCTATCTCACAATGAATTACTTTCTGGGATACCGCTCTACCCATCTTAATCTTTTAAAACTTTGCCTGGCAATGGTGGCACACGCCTTTAGTCCCAGCACTCAGGAGGCAGAGGCAGGCGGATCCCTGTGAGTTCGAGGTCAGCTTGGTCTACAGAGTGAGATCCAGGACAGGCTCCAAAGCTACACGAGAAGCCTTGTCTCTAAATAAATAAAGAAAAACAAAAATTGATGTCAGTGTTGTATGCCAAATACATACAGAGGCTTCAGTCTATGCATGAGATTGTCTCTTGATAACTGGAAATGATTTAGGCAAATCTAAATGTTAAGATGCCCGACTTCTCCGGTTCCGTTGCTGAACGACACCTCTGAGATAAGAGTAAAGCGTCCCCTAAAGAGTACAGTTCGGATCTCCTTTTACATTTTTATCTCATATTTGGTTTGTTGAGACAGGGTGTCAGTCTGTAGCCCAGGCAGGGCTGGGGCTCAATAACTCAGCTGACTTCAAACTCACCATAATCCTCCTGCCTCAGCCTCATAAGTGCTGGCATTACAGACCCGTACACCTGGATTTATTTTTTAATAGGAAAACAAACATACAAAACTTTTTGCATGCAGGAGTTATCAGACTTTTGAACCTTCTATTTTCCCAGAGATTTATTATGATGTTCAAAGCCAGAAGGCTGAAGGATGCCGTGCCAATGGCGTCTGTCCTGTGGGCCGTTGGTTTAAAAGGTTAGAGAAGCAGCCCCAAGACTTCGTGGTAACATTGTTAACATCCCAGTTTCACGGGATGGGAGGAGGCTCAGCTGCCTTCTCAGGGAAGGTGTACGTCATTCTTTCCATCGTCTCACGGAACGTGTGAAACAAGAGCCCGGAGTTGTCCTTACCTGACGTCACCTCGCCTCCTTGGTGAACGACAGAGCAGCAGTTCCAGGTGAAGCCGGTAAACACAGACAGGCCTGGCTGAAGGCGAGGACATCTGAGCGCCTCAGAGCCGGCAGCCTCAGCCTGGGCTTCAGCTCAGTAGCAGAAGAGGCTGCAGGGTGTGAGTTTGATCTCCAGCACCAAGAAAGGCAGGGCTAGGTAAACAAAGTAGTTTGGTTCAGTTTGTGAGCTGAGCTGTATGCTCTCTCCCCTCCGAGGCCCCGCCGGGCTGCTTCCTTTACTCAGATGATCAGCTACAGCCTTTCAAACACACATTTAGGAGACTCTGGTACCATTTCCCTTTGGGTCCATGTTCTTCAGCTCTCTTTGTTTCCTTCAAATGCAGTGACCATGTCTATGTACAGTTTTCTATGTACAGTTTTCTCCCAAATTGTGTATGAAATGGAATGGATTTAACCAACAGAACACAACTGGGTTTTAGTGGGATTTTATTTTGTGGGCCTCTTCCCTGCTGCAAAATGTGGCCCAAGGACACAGGAGTCCTCAGAGTAGTTTGTTTAAAGATTTATTTATTATGTACACAGTGTTCTACCTGCATGTATGCCTGTTAGAATTCCTAGCCACTCCCCCAGCTACATGACGGTGCATGTGTTATCCAGTAGCCAAACAAGATGCTTAGTCATCCCAGGGCTTTATCTTCTACGCGCACTGCGTGATCACATAATCTATTTTGTGCATTTGTGGCATAGCTACATAAGCCCATATGCTCATGTGTGGGAGGGGGGACCTATAAAAGCAGGTTCCACCTATTCCTTCTCTCTTCCTGCCCGGTCATTCCATAGGCCTATGCACACCCTTTCTATTCCCTTCCCTTAATAAACTCTTATAGTGGGTTTTATTGTGCCTTGTAGCTTCTCTTGTGGTAAATAGCATCGCTTAATAAATAACACTGGTGCTGAGACAAAGCAGGCCCTCCTGGCACCCTGTGCCCGGGATCCTCTACCAAGGTTTGCT